TTCAGCTTTGTGGCGATGTATTTTCCAGCTAATTCAAAAGGGTTTTTAAACAGTTAATTTAGCTTAATAAGTATTAGAATTCTTTACTTACTAGTAACTGAAGCAATCAGACAAATGTAGTGGAATAAGAAGTGCAATAAATAATACTGAAGTACAGTAGTTGAGTAAATGTACCATGTTACATCCCACCACTGAGTATCGGTGGATACTTTGGTTCCTGATCATTTATTCTAATTCTGTCTGTTACTAATATTTACTTAATGTGCAGTTTGTCCTGAGGGTGGTTGTAGAGGAAATGCCATGATGTTACAAAAATGTTAATCCTCTGGGGCGCCTGGTAGCTCATCTGGTAGAGTGTGCACAAAGGCTGAGTCTTCTACAGCTGCTTTTATCAAATAAACACAATCAAAGACCAAAATCATCCTCAGACTCAGCTTCCATTAGTCTAAACTGTACAGCCTTCACTGTACGTTCATTTCCAAGTAAATGTTGTCTTTAAAAATCATTTCTTCGTCCAGTGATGGGCTGATTGAAGCTGTGGGGCCTGCAGAAGTCATCAGAGCACAGTATTCAGAAGCATCCTTTGATAAAGTGATTGATGCTACAGGAATGTGTGTCCTGCCTGGTGAGTTTTTATGGTCGTCAGCTCAGCACAAGCATACATGCAAGTCATATTTTTGGATACTGTACAATTCTATAATATCAGAGATTAGCTTTTCAAGAAGCTTCTTGTTTCAGGGTTGGTTGACGCCCACACCCATCCAGTCTGGGCTGGTGACAGGGTGCATGAGTTTGCAATGAAGGTAAGTCTGTTTTCACCATTTTTTAAACTTTACTTTCACAACTGCAGCTTAAAGTTCAATGAAATGTGTGTTGCAGCTGGCGGGCGCCACCTACATGGACGTGCACCGGGCCGGCGGAGGGATCCACTTCACGGTGGAGCACACTCGAGCTGCCAGGTCCTCAGAGCTGTTGGCCTGCCTCCGGAGCAGGCTGGCCCGGATGCAGCGAGCAGGCACCACCCTGGTGGAGTGTAAGAGCGGGTACGGCCTGGAGCTGCAGACTGAGCTCAAGATGCTGGAGGTGATCGAGGAGGCCCGACGCACCCTGCCCATCAACATCTCCTCAACCTACTGCGGAGCCCACGCAGTGCCCAAGTATGGACAGTCTTCTCAAGTGATCTCAGTTCACATCTCATTGCTGTAATTACCATTCTTCTCCTTCCTTCTTTCAGAGGGAAGACAGTTGCAGAAGCCACAGAGGACATCCTGCAGGTTCAGCTGCCCCGGTTGAAAGAGCAGATGTCTGCTGGGAGTCTCAGAGTCGACAACATCGACGTGTTCTGTGAGCAGGGAGTGTTTGACCTGAGCTCTACTCGCTCCATCCTGCAGGCTGGCAAAGACATGGGCCTCAACATCAACTTCCACGGAGATGAGCTTCATCCCATGAACTCAGCCCAGGTACTCCTAAAAACTGTCTTTACTGGTTTTTGGGCCACTAAGGGGTCAAAGGAAATGACGTACTGTTTCTCTAATATTTTGGGCCACCACTGTTTCTTGTCAGTGAAGCGACTAGAATACAATTGTAGAAAACATCACGCCAACCACATAGATTGGCTTACACTTGCCGATGGAAAGTTATTTTAAAAGGATTAGAATTGATGCAGGCCAGAATCAGCAGATTTGGCATTTTTATTCCTTCCCTTATATTAATGCATATAAAGGCATTGTGTGTGCTATTGTGGTGTGGTGTGTGTGTCAGCTGGGCGCCGAGCTCGGAGCTTTAGCCATCAGTCACCTGGAGGAGGTCACAGACGAGGGGATTGCTGCCATGGCAACAGCAAGAACCGCTGCCGTCCTTCTGCCGACTACAGCTTACATCCTTCGGTACTGTAACTGGAGGGGTTGAATGTAACATTTACTTAAGTACTGTGCTCAATTAGTTACTAGTTACTTAATTACAATGAAACTACCGAGCAGAATATACAAGAACATCAACAAAATCAATTGGCCGCTATTTTGATAATTGTTTATGTAATTTTTAATGCCAAAATACCAAAAAGTTCATGGTTCCAACTTCCTAAATGTGAGGATTTGTTGCTTTTCCTTTTAATTATTTTAATGCAGTTTAAAATAAATTAACATATATGAATATAGCCAATGTTTTGTATGAATACTTTTAATTTAAATCCTTTAAAGCACTGAGTTTTGGGGGCCAACACAGGTTCCTCGAGTCGGTTATAGCGGATCTCCAGCAAAAGGGGGAGTAGAATATTTGAACACTTATCACATTTTTGATCCTAGTTTGATCATTTGCTGTAAAGACTTTATAATCTTCAAACCTAAAAGTAAAAATGAGGCCCCTTCCTCCTTCCTTAAGATAAAATCCTCTCAAATTAGGGGTCTGTGGTCTAATGTGCATCTATTATGTGGGTCCTTGACATGAAAAGGTTTGGGAAACCCTGCCTTAAAGTGCATTTTCTTGATTATACTGAGTATTTTTACAGTGCTTTAGTATTTCTGATCTGTGTAACACTAACAGATACTCACACATCCCTCATATAGCTGTGAGTTGTCTAATAATCTGTGTGTGTGTTTAGGCTGCCCCAGCCTCGGGCCAGAGACATGTTGGACGCTGGAGTAATTGTTGCCCTCGGCAGCGACTTCAACCCCAACGCGTACTGCTGCTCCATGGTGAGTGCAACGGGAAAGGTGACGAGGTGAGTGTTGCATGATGGTTACAACTCAACCATGTCTTTGTCCTGTCCACCTTCCTCAGCCGATAGTCATGCACCTGGCCTGTGTCAATATGAGGATGTCCATGCCCGAGGCTTTGGCCGCGGCCACCATCAACGCAGCTTACGCCCTCGGGCGCTCTCACACACACGGCTCCCTGGAGGTCAACAAACACGGAGACCTGCTGGTCCTCAACGCCACACGGTAAGATCAGGACAGAAATAGCTGTCAAGATTTATACACACAGAAAATAATCTTTTGTCCTGTGTGTGTGTGTGTCTGGATCTGTGGATTTTATTTCTATTGTGAGAGGATCTTAGATACTTTTGTGTGTTTATTAAATGGAGAACCACGTCAGGTTTGGTGGTGAAAAGTACATTGTAACATTGTGCTGCTGACATCCTATATTTGACCATAAACTGCTGTTTTACAAAGTCTTTACATGACTTTTTAACTATTATTTCACCATCCAGGTTGAATATGAACACGTATTTTTAATAATACACAATGTTATAGGATGTATCATGCAAATAAAACCTAATATACCATGCTGAATCAACTGATTTGACCTCAGCAACTAAAATAAAGGTTCAACTATAAGTAGTGTTAATGTCGCGTAATAGTCAGTCTAGACACGACAGCACCAGCTTGTCTCTGTGTTTTATTACAAACGACACACCTTTAGTAGTCACTCTTTATTAACTGCATGTCTCCTGTGTTTATCTGAAATATCTGTGTGTGAAACAGAGCCTCTCCTTTATGTTTTATTGCAGATGGGAGCATCTGATCTACCAGCTGGGGGGACATCAGGAGCTAATCCGTTACGTTGTCATTAAAGGCAACGTCGTCTATGATAATGAGAAAACCGTGGACTTATAACACTGAAACTAACTGCTGATTAATTCAGATTAGAGAAGAGGTCATTAATAATACTGATGGATAACTACAACGTGTATTCAGCTGAGATTTAAAAAGAAAACACATTTTTTAAATGCATCTAGAAACAGGAAAAGCTCTTTTTACTTCCTGGAGTCTCCCCTGATTGCCTGGCAACAGATGTGTTTAGATCTTACCAAGGAGGAAAACAAACCTATGCTCATTCACAATTTCAGTAATTGAAATATATTTTTTTTTGTCATTTTTTAATCACATCATCCATGACAAACGGGGACTAATTTAGTTTGCCATTAAAAAATGTATCTTCATGTTTTTGGGGCAAGAGTCAGCTCACATTCAGGCCTGAAATGTAATGCAGAGGCTGTAAGAACGTCTTGTTGTTGGCTGTGCATTTACATTTCATCATGATGAAGCTCTAAATACATTCACATCCAACACATTACAACCACGCAAGTGTCTCTGGTCAGTGAATGTGACCAACAGCCTCTCCAGAGAGATATCGCCGTCTGCTGCGGGCGCCATCGTCACCTCGAAGCTCTCATCGTTCGGAGACACTGAGGAGAAGACAGAGAGAAAGAAGAAATTTACTAGAATATGTTGTGTTCATTTATTTGGGATATTTGGATATGTTGGAACTTATTACAGATTCCTGAAAAGAGGGGAAGTTGGAGAGAGGATGCTTTGTTGATGGGTCATCTGGTGGTACTTTAGGTTGTACTTCAAGGCTTCGGCGAGGGTCCTTGCAGTGAGCCACACAGGGTTGTTTTTGTTATTGTTGTCCATCTCATCAAAATAAATGACCATCTAAACTCACCAGCCACTGCATTGGGTACTTCTATACAGTGCAATGCAATTCAGCTCTGCCATGAATTCTACTTTTAACAATATAAAATATTTCAGTTTTTGTTGACACTTTCAGAAAGATAATAATTCTACTTTAGTTTATTATTCACGTTGTAATGGGTAGTAGTGTTGTACTGGTGTTTTTGCCCCTCTCAGGTCTGTAAATTGGGTGGCCAAAATACTGGAAACACCTCTTAATATAATGCAGTCCAGTTCAACACCACTGTGGATCACAACCTCCATAATAAACATGTATTTTAATCATTACCTTTCACACAAAACTCAACATTATCGTCTTTGTGTACCAAACTAATTCTATTGTACCAAGTGTTTGATCAAAAGTATTTAACAATAGCCCCTGAGAACATCGAGGCAGATGGGGATGATGGTAAGAGTGTGTCCAACCTTTCCAGTTGTAAGCCAAGAAGAGCTAAATGTCAACGCCACCACCGTGGGACTTTCACCCAAAGAGTACACCCAACCTTTACTTTACAGTTCAAACTCAGTGGTTAACGTTTAACTCCTCAAAACCAGGGGATTCCTACCAACACCGGCGAGTCCATGAGCAAAATCAGAGGTTAAATAATGCTTAAATAATATTTGATTTTTACTATCAGGTTTTAAATCAGTGTCAATAGAAAGTACATTGGAAAAAATACATGAGCCCTGCAATATAGAATACTACCTATTTTTTAGCAACAAATATATTTAATAACAAATATTTTATCACCAAGTATATTTTAACATTCTAAATTTATTTTTTCCCCCAAATTTTAATTAATTAATTAAATTATGACTGGCTCTTGGTTTGGTTCTTACGTCGCTCTACGCGTTGACGTCACCGCCCCCGGAATTGAGAGTGTGGAGGTGAAGGAGTAAACATGGCTGCGGGGTCGCTGTGCAGAGCTGTCGGTGTGTTTCAGCTCAGCAGGACAGCAGCACTATCCGCGGGGACTCGTTTCTACTCGCACACTCAACCGGAGCCGCTGACGGTGAGACAGCAACACAACGGAATAAGGTGCAGTAACCAAAGTGTGTGTGTGTGTGTGTATGGTGCACACAGCTGGTACATGCACTGAGAGAATAAGAGCATGAATTAATTCAGTTATTCTCCATTTAAAGTTTTCTATTTAAAGTTTTCTATGTCAAGGTCTGCTGGTGCCACTATTATATTACTTTAGAGAGAGAGAGAGAGA